TATTGCTTAAATAATTACTGTTGTTTGTTAATATATTTCTTATATGAATTGATAATTAGAATTCCGCCAAATACAAATTCCTAAATTCATCCTTCTCTGTGTAGGGCACGGTAAGTTCGGCGGTTTTCTAATGTTCAAACTATGCTTGTATACCTTCAGGTCGGCCACGAAGTGTGCAGGGATTGGTTACCCAAGACAGGGCAACGGATGACTAACAGGAGTGCCCCATCCCTCTTATCTAATTTTATTGCGATTGGTTGTAAATATAACCCTTGTTCTTGAGTCTTTGTTCTTACTAGCACGCGACGCTTGTGCGATCACACTGCTAACGTGCGCTTTGCTGTCTGTTTCAGATCATTTCTTGACGAGTGGGACTACATAAATGGCGAGCCCGCCAACGAAAAACCTTCTTCTTCTAAGTCTCGACTCAATGAGGCTTCTAAGAACACTTCTCCTGTCAAACAGACAGCATCCAACGAGGTTGATCAATTAGCTGAGGTGATGGCTCCAGCCTTTCAATCAAATCAGCCTGCTTCGCGTTACGTCCATCCTTTGCCGCATAAGGTGGAGGTCGGTGATGACTTCGATCTGTGATCGGACAAGGTGCGCCGATACGTTGATCTGATGAGCGTGCCTCACCCGAATACATTCGTCATTCATTCTGTTGGACGGTCCTTGGAAATGTACATAATTGTTTTGGATTATGCTCATGTGCCCTTGACCACCCTCTTGAGTACTCTAAGAGCACGTATAGTGCCACCAGTACCTCATATTGAATCACTGAAAAGATTCAGTGAGTGCACACGCCTAATAAATCGACTGGGACAAGATCCACGAATGACTTTGAAAGACGTCGATGAAGAATACCAGCGTTTAATCGACATTCATAAAGATACTTACTTGGTACAGTCTGGCAGCCAAAATACAGCAGAATCTACAGTGCTGAAAATTCCATTTGGCGAACTTAACTTGCCATAGCCAGAGTCAAGCTCTTTGAAAAATTTCCCTTCAACAACGGATCGGACACACGAAATGCTATGAAATGTCATTTCAAATCAAACCATGCCTGCCTTTTTGAACTTGGAGAGGATAGATACAATATTCTACTGATTTACTAGGTGCTTTTCCTGCAAATCTGTACTGTTAGGTAGGGTAATGGCGTTTTAGACTATGGTTTAGGCTTAAAGCTAGGCTAAGGAGTTAGAATTATGGTTAGAATTAGGAGTAGTTTTGAAGTGTAGTGTAAGAAATATCAATAGATATCAAAGTACATTGACCTACAGTCTTCTATCTGAATGAATAGATGTGGTGATTGACAATTTCTATCTCTGTATTGGTCAAATACTTACTGTTGCTTGTTAATATATTTCTTATGTGAATTGAATAATAATTCCGCCAAATACAAATTCCTGAATTCATCCCTCTCTGTATTTTGGTTGAATTCTTGTAATTCGGTCATCTCGAAATACTAATACTACCATTATAAAAAATTAAAACATTTTGGCGTTGCGATGGAACTAAATAACCTTGGAAAGTTTCCTATAAATGGTTCACCGCGGGAAATTGCTGATTATCTTGAATGCTTCGATGCATGGTGCACGTCAAAGAATGTTCGGGATGACAAAATTCCAGCTCATTTCATTACTGCTATTGGGCTAGATGTGTATAGCCTAGTGAAGACTCTGTCGTTTCCAGATAAACCCATTTCTCTGCCATGTGGTAAGCTCCGCGAACTTCTGATAGATCACTTCCATATAACTACTTTTGAGACCAGAGAGAGGGCTCAATTCAACAAACTGGTTCGTGCTCCCAATCAGAAGATAAGAGACTTTATTCTTCAACTTCAAATACAAGCTTCAAAGTGTAACTTTGGAGATCAGCTGCATACTCAACTACGTGATCGTCTAATTGCTGGAATCAATATTCCTAAGCTAGAGAAAGAGTTAATTCAGATTCCTTCATGTACCTTTCAAACTGCTAAAGATTTATATATTACATATGAAGATGTCAACAGTGAATACTCTGCTCCCACTACGTCAGTATCTGATGTCATGCTGTCCAAAGTCGAAAATACAAGTGTTCATAGAAAGCAATCCAAAGTGTCGTCCACATGTAATAGAATGCAGCGAGAGATCAAAAACATTAAACCGTGTTTCTCTTGTGGAAAGATTCATCTAAGAGGCACTTGCCGTTTTCGGGGTGCTAAGTGTCATAAATGTGGTAAAGTTTGACACATCAAGTCTGTTTGCAGAAGTTCGAATACTTATGTTACTCAGAATTCTTGTAGTTCTCCCAATCTGTCTAGTAAAATGGAGTCAATGTGTCTTTCAACTTTTCAAAACACTCGATCTCATACAATGAAACAAGTTCAGCAACTCAAGCGTCAACTGTTTCACATATTTTCAACAATGACATAGCCGAGTTACAATGCGAACTATCGTAAACACGAAAAAAAGTGAGTGAAATGGAAGCTGACTGGTTGTCCATTCGTCAACAGTTGACTGAGATGAGACAGCAACTGATTAAAACGGAGGAATTGCTGCATATGCATAGACTGCGTCTGTTGAATGCAGAACATACAAGTACTCATGAAAGTCCTGCAAAACTTTTCAAATCTGGAATTCTCAGAAAGCATCTGATGTCCACGACTTCTAATGTACATTATTACAGGGGGAATGACTATAGACCTTCTGTTGGAATCATACTACAAAAAATGGGAAATCGAATGGTGAAGATATTAGACATCAAAGATCACTCAGTTCCTAACAGACACCTGGACAAAGTGACAATAAATGAGGTAGGTCGTTCCGATTATAATTTTAATGATTCCGCTTCTAATCCTGATTTTGCAGATAATTCAGAAATAAGTCCAGATAATACTGATGAAAATAATATCACAGAATCAGTCAGAAGATCGCAGAGACTGGCAAGCAAACCGCGACATCATTATAAATACGCAAGGAGACATTCGACGTGTGGCGGATGTGGTGACTGACAATTTCTATCTCTGTATTGTTTAAATACTGACTGTTGATTGTTAATATATTTCTTATATAAATTGAATAATAATTCCGCCAAATACAAATTCCGCCCTCTCTGTGTTTTGGTTGAATTCTTGTAATTTGGTCATCTCGAAATACGAATAGTACTATTACAAATAATTACAACATCCTCATAATCACACCAAGGTATTATTCACTCACACAACTTTCTCGCTTCGTTTATATACATGAGTGAGAATTGCTGATTAGACATTTGAATCAAGCCAAAATAAGATAAAGTACATTCGGAAATGATAATAATATTACTGTTATCAATCAAATACAAGAAGATGGGAAATAAGATAATATAATAATTTAATATAGTGATATATAAACAAACAGAAGATTCAGCAATGGGATGGATCACCAGTATCCGACATCAAGGCAGATATCTTTATGGATAGCTGGGAAAATATGGCACTTAATACATTTAATCCTACTCCAAAAATGTGATGGGGATGTGTGGATGACACTTTCACACAGTGTTAAAAGCAGAACATATCTCTAGTTTCTCACCACACATATTAAGTCACTAGTAGTGGGAATAAAATTCACATTTGAATCAGAAAATGAACAAGGAGAATTAGCTATGTTAAATTGTAAAATAAAACAAATAAAAGAAGGTAAACTGTACACTAGTGTTTATAAAAAGCCAACGCATTCTGCTAATAGATATTTAGACTTTAATTCATCACCTCATTCGTTATCTGTCTGTGGAGGCAGCTTAGTTGTTAAGTGTCTAACAAGCCAGGCAGTAGCACTAAGTAGTTCAAGAAAAGACCTAAATGAAGAAGTGTTGGTGTCATATAACTATCCCACAAAATTCATTAGGAAGATCAGAAAAGGCCACATAAAAATAAAATTAATTCTGAAACTAGTAATAATAACAAAAACAAGAGAGAATACAAGGCATCTACTGTTACACCATATAGGCAAAGGAGTTATGAGACCCTACGTAGGATTCTCAATAAAGCAGGGATTGGGATGTCATTCACACCCTCCATCAAACTCACTTATGTAGGATAGGCTCTGTAGGCTAAAGCACCCAGTGGGTTAAATCGACTAAACAAAATAATATAATTTACAAAATACCTTGCAATGACTGTGAGTGAGGTCAACTACCCAGGTCAAACTAGTAGGTACGGGTAGTCAGATTGTCAGAACATAAGAATGGTTGACTCCGAGAAGATAAGTAATTTAGAAAAAAAGCTCAGCGACTGCACTGCACGCATTGACACACAACCACACAATAGGGCGGAACAGGGTTAAAATTCTAAAAAGTAATATAGGTGGATGGAAAGAGAGATTGATTACCGAATCCTTGTTCATCGAGTCCACACCAAACACATGCAATAGAGGTGACTCAAGGCAAATATCAGAGATATGCACGGAAGATATTATTACCACTAGTCCAATCAGAGGATAATAAATAATGTTAAAATGTATTCAATTCACATTACACCATTCTAACACGTTATTTACTATAAAAGTATCTTATTTCCCATCTTCTTGTATTTGATTGATAACAGTAATATTATTATCATTTCCGAATGTACTTTATCTTATTTTGGCTTGATTCAAATGTCTAATCAGCAATTCTTACTCATGTATATAAACGAAGCAAAAAAGTTGTGTGAGTGAATAATGCCTTGAGATGTGATTATGAGGACTGGTAATAATTTGTTCTCAAAATGTGGTCATCAGTAAATATTGCTTAGTGTATAACACCACTGTGTGTGTGTGTGTGTGACTATATTAAAATAAATTTTATCCATAATGGGGTTTTATACTCTATCACAGTGCCCAAGTTTTATCCTTATATGAATTCTGATTGGTTGTTCAAGGTCACTATAGTTAGGGCTATGCTAATTTTACCTTTGCCTTCCATTCTGTATGAAAAATTATTACTTGGAATAAACTGATTATCATAATGTATTACATTATATTATTATTATAATATCACCTATAATATAAATACAGAGAGGTACAAACAAGAATAATAGACATAAGAATAATAGAATTCAAGTGTAAATCGAATAATATCATTGCCAGTAAAGTTGTACATATCATAGCTGATGAAATGATAAACAATCGGTAGATATTACTGGCATACTTTAATACAAAGCCTATAAGCATACCAAATACTGATTGAGTTAATATCAGAATCCATGTTAGGTAAGTGAAGCCGCGGAAGAATTGAAAATCTTCATCTAAATGGAATGAGAGAGAGAGAGAAAAAAACAGAAACTTAGAGTGAAATTGTGTGCGTGCGTGCGTGCGTGTTGTATTGCAATCAGAGTTTCCTGGAGTTCTAGTGAGAAGTCGTGACAAGTGAGGTCTATCCAGATGTCACGTGTGAGGATGGATGTCCCACCAACAACATTAGTTGGGGTCCCGCTAAATCATGAATCAGTAGAAGTTAATATTCATGGGCTGGCCATTGAAGAGTCGGGTCCCAGTGGCTGAGTGGTATACGAGCATGCCTTGTAACCGGTAGGCCCTGGGTTCGAACCCTGGCGTTGGTTGCGTACTGCCAACGATTCCCAAACTAGGATGAAACAGCAGCTATCCAGTAATGCTAGTGGCTGGTTTTCAATGGTTCTCTTAATGATTTCAATCCGTGATCAACCTGTAAAAACAAAACTAATCCTTAAAAAACCAAACTATAGAAAATCAGATAATAATACATTTAGGGTCAAGTTAAACTTTAAGCACCAGTGACTACCATTGGAGTGCGACCACACCAATGCCTTTGAAACGCTCCCTGAGCAAGTCAGTGAAACCTGGCAGATAATGTTGTTGTCATTATCGATAAAATATGCTCATCGAAGCCAAGGACAAGTTAGGGTTAGGTCAAAACTTAATAAAGGTGAATTTAGGGTTAGTTCGATTCAGATTACAGTTAGTTTAGGGATATCTTCACGTTACGGATAGGTCCAGGAACACATTAGGGTTAGTGTTGGGGTTAGAAGACCTAAATAATTACATGCATAGAATGTGGTTAAATTACTCTGTTGATATAAGAATAGAACGTGTGCACTGTGGTAGTGTATAATTCCATTGTGGGTAACATTTATTTTGATAAAGTCCCAAAGTGTTATACAGCTATATTTACTGATGACAACGTTTCGAGCACAATTTATTGCTCAGGAAATATTTCTTTATTACACTATGAGACTTTATCAAAGTAAATTTTACCCACAATGGAATTATACTCTGCTGATACTCTAAAATTGAGAGCCAACGATTAGCATGTATTCAAGATCATTTGAGTGTTCGCACCCCTGGGACGCTGTTGTTGAACTTCGTCCTATTTTCATCACATGCAAGATCAAGGTATCCTCTGTAACACTTTTCTACATTTTTTATGCATTATTTCATAAAAAATATGTGTGTGTGCTGATACAACTCGTCACTGCATTTTTTGGTAATATATTGTTATTTAACACTCCATTGACTTGGATTATTATTCTTATATTTATAATGTTAGTGAACTCTAGTATAAGTCCCCTACAAATTAATTGGTGAGCCCGATAAGAACACGGATTATTTTGGCATATTCATATTCTTATTTTTGCTATTTTGTATATTCATTGTGATTTTGTGTGTGGTTTATATTTGTATCCTAATTTGCACCAATAACCTCATATTTAAAATGTCATCACCTCAATCCGGTCCATCAAGCGAGCAGACAACTAATAGCGAGACAAATGCCACAATAAATGCCATCACTGATTTTCGTTTACCTCAATACGGTTTCGCAGAACCAAGGATTTGGTTTGCGGTAATTGAGCCGTTGCTAGAAGCACGGGGCATTAAGTCCCAGATAGCCAAATATGGTATGGTGCTGGCAGAACTCCCTCCGTCAGTATTGACAGAAATCAGCGATTTCATCGAAAATCCTCCAATGGAACATCAATTTGATAAACTTAAAGCCCTCCTCATACAACGCACCAGTTTGTCAGATGAGAAAAGAATCCAACAATTGCTCACAGGCTGTGAACTAGGCCCACGTATACCATCCCAGCTGCTCAGGCACATGCGCCAGTTAATCGGACATCATAAAGTAGACGAGGTAGTGCTGAAACAGATGTGGTTGCAACGTTTACCTAGAAATGTCCAGCAAATTTTAATCATCTCAGGAAAGTCGTATGACTTAGACCAACTAAGTGACATGGCAGATAGTATTATGGATGTTTTATCTGATAACACCATAAGTCACATAGCATCTGATAGTGCCACACCGTGTCATTCCACACCCACGGCAGACACACCGATACTCGCCGCCATTGCAGACTTAGCGGCAAGGATTGACAAGTTGGAAACTAATAGGTCTGGTCAACGAGTCCGGAGGCTGAGTTCACAAAGAAGGTCACCATCACAACGACGATCCTTCTCACGACAGCGTTTTCACACGTCTTCTCGGGATAGTAATATATGCTGGTATCACTGGAAGTTTGGACGTCATGCCCTGAAATGTTTAAAACCGTGCAGCTTTAGCGAAGCCAACCAGGCTCAGGGAAACGCCTCAGCCAGACAGTGATGGCGACAGCTGTTACTGGCAAGCAAACAAGTCGCCTCTTCTATGTAAAGGACAAAACTTCCGACACTTTATTACGTCGGCGTTTCACATGGATTTTTATAGCAGCCGACGTCGGTCACACCATCCTCGGAGTAGATTTCTTGAGTAATTTCAACCTGTTAGTTGACCTCAACAATAAAAAACTGATTGATAACAACACCCATCTAAAGATCTATGGAATTATCTCCAGCTATTCTGTCTATAATACTAGTATTGAAAGACCAGCAGATTGCCCTTTTTCCGCCCTACTTCATCGTTTCCCTAAAATTCGTAGGCCGTCGTACAACATCGAGGACATCCCTCACACAGTCACTCACAAGATAGTTACTACGGGTCAACCAGTTTGTGCTCGTCCTCGTAGATTACCCCGGACAAATTGGCAGCAGCCGAGGAAGAATTTGAACACATGATGCAGCTCGGCATCATCAGACCCTCCAATAGTCCTTGGTTTTCGCCCTTACACATGGTGCCTAAAGCTGACCATGATTGGAGGCCATGTGGGGATTACCGACATTTAAACAATGCCACAGTTCCCGACCGTTACCCTATTCCCCATTCATATTCATGATTTCTCCCTGACATTACACGGAAAAACCATAGTTTCTAAAGTGGACTTGGTTAGGGCCTATCACCAAATACCAGTTGCCCAAGAGGATATCGAAAAAACGGCCATTATCACACCTTTCGGTTTGTTCGAATTTGTCCGCATGCCATTTGGCCTAAAGAACGCCGCACAATCCTTCCAACGGTTCATGGATCAGGTCATACAGGGTTTGGATTTTGTATTTGTATATATCGATGACGTTTTAATTGCTAGCTCGTCGCCCGAAGAACATACTGATCACCTCACCATCTTATTTCAACGATTTGAGCAACATGGAGTCGTCATTAACCCCAAAAAGTGCATATTCCGTGTCTCCTCTATACAGTTTCTGGGACACCACATAACTGCGAATGGTATTACGCCTTCGGAGGAAAAGATAGAGTCCATCAAAAGCATCGCTTATTTTGTGCACAGATGCCTCCCAAGTAGCTGTAGGGGCAGTATTACAACAAAAGATGAAGGGCGAAGTCACCCCACTCGCATTCTTTTCTAAGAAGTTGGAACCGGCTCAGACACGATACAGCACTTTTGGGAGAGAATTGCTGGCCATATATCTTGCAGTGAAGCATTTCAGTTACTTACTACAGGGCCGGCATTTCACTATTTTTACTGACCACAAGCCCCTGTGTCATGCTTTCACTACTTCACTCGATAAACACTCCCCTAGAGAAGCCAGACAGTTGGATTATATCTCCCAATTTTCAACCGACATCAGTACATCAAAGGGGATGCGAACGTGGTAGCCGATTCTCTTTCAAGAAGTGACATTAACCAGCTCCAAACGTCGGTAGACATCAGTCTTGATCGTATGGCTCAATTACAAAGAGATGACGTTGAACTCCAAACCTGCCGCAGAAACTCTTCCTTACAGCTCAAAGATGTGCCTATCCCCTTATCAGATGCAACCATAGTCTGCGATGTATCTACCGGCACTAATCGTCCATTTGTCCCTCTCAGTTGCCGAAAAGCATTGTTCGAACATTTACATTCGCTTTCTCACCCTGGAGTACGCGCCACGGTCAGACTGATCAGCGAACGCTTCGTGTGGCCTAAAATGAACTCTGACATTCGGAGATGGGCACGAGAATGTCCAATGCCAATGCTCCAAAGTACACCGCCACACTATTACAACCCCGAAGACGTTTGAATTACCCGAAAGGAGATTTCAGCATATCCATATAGATATCGTGGGACCATTGCCAACATCAAGGGGATATACACATATCCTGACAGCGATTGATAGATTTACTCGTTGGGCTATTGCATGCCCCTTAAACGACATATCTGCTGAAAACGTTGCTTTAGTTTTTCTCGACCGTTGGGTGTCAAACTACGGTGTACCAACTACTATTACATCCGACCGCGGTCCTCAATTCCAATCGACACTCTTTCGCGAACTGACGAGACTTCTGGGAGTGAAACATATCTCCACAACAGCCTATCATCCGGCAGCGAATGGTCTAGTGGAAAGATTCCACAGACAACTGAAAAGCTCCCTGATGGCGCAGAATGATACATCTAAGTGGAGTGAATACTTACCTTTGATTTTACTTGGTATCCGATCTACTATCAAAGAAGATTTAGGATGTACACCGGCTCAACTTGTCTATGGCACCAACCTAACCTTGCCTGGACAGCTAGTCCCCTCAGCCGATTCCACAGACGTGAACATTGCCGACTTCACTAACCGATTAACTAGACAAATGCTTCAACTTCAACCAACAGCACCTCGACAATCTCCCCGACGAGATCAGATCAACAAACATCTACAAACTTGCAAATTCGTCTTCATTCGAGTCGACGCCATCAGAAAAGGATTGCAACCTCCATACGAAGGACCCTTTCAAGTTATTAAACGTTCAGACAAACACTTTACAGTGAACAAGAATGGAAAACGAGAGACTATTTCAATTGATCGAATCAAACCCGCATACACCGACAACGACTTCGAATCTACATCGGCAGCTGCGCAATCAAATAATCAAACATCCGATTCCACTCCACCGGCACCAAGTCTTATCCTCCCTCCATATCAAACACGTAGTGGTCGGCAAATCAGTAAACCGGCTCGCTACGTTCATTTTGAGGACTAACAAAAAAAAAATAATTAAAAATTATTATTATCTTTTTCGTTTAGACATTATCATCATGACCGTTAGTATTTCGTCGTAAACTTTGATGTTACTATCACTATTATTTATTTATATGTACCTCACCTAAAAAACAGGTATCGTCCTTTTCAAAAACTATTGATCTTTAATCCATATTTTTTAATGTTTCTTTCCCCTCCTTAATTACTGTGTATTTACATATTTTTCTTTATACATTAAAAATCTATGTTCAGGGTGACTTTCTATTTCAATTTTTATTGCTGAACTCATTGTATATGCTTTCAGACTTTACATGATTCACATACCTTCTCGCGTTTATGCATGTTGTAATATATCCCTATTTTTATCCAAAAATTGCTATTACTATTATTATTTACTTCATAGTTTTACTTATCATTTTCCGGTTGTCTCTCCGGACCTCTAGGGGGGGAGCCGTGTGGAGTACGTAACAATGTGATTGTACACTTTTTGGTTACTTGTATAAATTCGAGATATTGTACATAATTTTTGTTTAAAACGCTTCTTGTTGAAATATACATAACTTCCGTGTACAATTGAAAAATACACTCTGCTGTTGGAGACTTCGTCTTCTCCCTGGTCACTTCTGCTTACTTGCTCCACTCACACCGTGTTGTATACTTCGGATTTATTGTAGGAGCCTACTACTCTCAACCGAAGACATTTCTACAACCGGAACACAGCAGCTACAGCAGACGCAACCCAATCAATTAACGTACCCGTGGATTATATACATAATTTGTAGCAGAGGACTTAGACTTTATATCCAAGTAATCCTTTTTGTTGATACAACTCGTCACTGCATTTTTTGGTAACATATTGTTCCTTCATGCATTTATTCCCCTTGATAAATTTGAATAAAGCGAGAACAACATTGATTTGTTGCAAGCTGTAAGCAGCTGACGAGAAGCCAACGAAATAAATGATGGTACCATGTTATTCTGCACAAATCAATGTTGTTCTCGCTTTTATCAAATAATATATTGTTATTTAACACTCCATTGACTTGGATTATTATTCTTATATTTATAATGTTAGTGCTTAAAGTTCAACTTTGCCACTTTTAGATTACATTAGAATAATGGAGAAATGTAATGGAGATTTTCGGGATACTTTTGTACATTAAGTGCGTTGGTGGCACAGTGGTGGAATGCTCGCTAACTACGTCACACGTGGTTCAGGGTTCAGTCCCCGGCCGACACACTTTTTTAACTCGCTAAGCCAATAATAAGTCTGGTAAAGAGGAAAGTTTGGGTATGAGGCTGGCTAGCAATCCTATCCCGTAAAAATAAATACCACCGCTGCCGAAACTTCAATGCTCTAGCTTGAAGCCCCCCTTGTGTTCTGCTGGGAACTTAAAGGAATAAAAATCATAAAAACTAAATGTTAGTGTGAATTATTTTCAACTAACCTGTAATTCCTTTCCGATGCACTTCAAAAATAAGAGCGATACCATTGACAATTACCCCGAATGTATAAAGTAGAAAGTTTTGTAAATGTATACTCATCTAGAAATTGAAGAAAAAAGCAGGATTAAAAACAATGTAAGCAGTATGTAGTACTTTAGTAGGCGGTAATTCTTTTGTGTTTCCATTCCTGGTGTTCCGAACAAAACATGGGGCTTTAAAAATTCCAGCAGTGTTCGTGTTGTTTTTACAGAGTGAGACTGCTAGTTTCCCTTCCAACAGCTTTCCTTTTTCTCGCATTACTACTTTCTCGGTGAGGTTTAGATGCGGAATTGGAAATGGACCACACGAGTAGCTAGAATATATCCTACTATTGAGCTACTGACTAACTACACAGTAGGTAAGATTCAAACCTGAATATGCATTTAGTACATTTTTAACGATATAACTGCTGTTGTCCTGTGAAACAGATATCAGAAATACAACAAAACAATTCATATTCATGTAGTCAAACGAAGTAACTATCCAGCATACTTGGGGATGGTGAAATGATTATAAGCCGTTTTAGTGAACAAAAAAATAAACTCAAGTTTTGGTTTACAGGGATTTGATTGGTCTTTTTCAGGATTTCGTCATGAGCTAACATCAGTTAGAGAACCACTGGAAACCAGTACTGGAGTATTGGAAAGCTGTTTCGCCAGCTTAGTTTGGGATTCTTTAGCAGTACGCACCCATTATCGAGGTTCGAACCCAGGGACTTCTGGTTACAAGGCGACCTTGTACACCATTAAGCCTCTTGGAATTGATCCACTGGTTCCCTAACCAATGTAAGTTCATTATGAAATCTTTGCAAACCAACATTTGAATATCATTATGACGCTCACTGCTGACTGGTCCTATTCAGATAGGCAGTTACATGGGTTCTGGTGAGGGGTCGTGACTAGTGAGGTATAGCAGATTGGGTGCGAGAACAAATACTCACCAGAGATGGCATTCACTAGTGGTCGCTGTTTATCATGAATTGGTAGAAGCTGGAATTCATGGACTAGCCATTGTATCGGGCTGGTCCCAGTGTCTGGATGGTCTACGCGCTGGCTAGCCTTGTAACCATAAGGTCATGGGTTTGAAACTCGGTGAAGTGGGTGCATACTGTCAGTACTCCCTGTGGCTGCCTTCCAATGATCTTCTAGCCGATATCAGGCCATGATGAATTCCTGTTTCGAACAAAATCTTCATCAGTTCTTACAGTTATAGGTCCATAGAAATAAAAGAATTCTTGTTATTGACAACATTAATGTTTTGTAGATAACATTGAGTCATTAAGATCCATAGATTATAGTTCAAAAGCAATAATATGCATAACACCAAACCAATTGAGTAAAAGATAAATTAGACAAAATAATAATACAGAATTTATGAATTGATAGGCTTATACAGCAGGCCGAGGTCTTTTGAACGTTGAGTTACGGTTGTTTTAAGCGAAATGAAATGGTCTCTACTATTCGGAATATTCAATATCCAGAGGTCTTCGGCGACTTATTTAGTACTCGACAGGAAGATAGGTAGATAGATGATAAAAAGAAACTGCTCAATATACTGGCTTTTTGGAAGATTTGAACTAATTGGTTATTTTATCCCTTACAGATACCTTTGAGCTGTTATCTATTGATCTCAATCATTTAAATGTTATTTAAAACACTAGTGTTACTAATAACAATAATTCCTCAACTGTTATAGACATCTTACTGCAAAACCTTATGAAAAAGAAATTATCGAAAGGGATGTTTGTGGAGTGATACAGATTGATAGGAAGTGGTCAATATTGAAATCAACGTTTTAAGTCAATGACTGACTGCACAGGGGTAGAGGTGTTTATTCCTTAAATAAGGAATTATTTAGCCTACGTTGTGGACGCGAAATAACCTCATTGGACAACCTTGTTTAAGCTTAGGCCAACTGCCAACCAATCAAAATAATTTATTGCCCTCTCACCTACCTAACTAAACTTTAATTTGTCTGAGAATGTGTAAATATGGAGCCTTTTTCATTCAATAAGGGTCTGTTCTCCATTCTCTTATCTTCTTCCATTACACATTCTTTATTTACTCATTAGTGCAGTTAAAGTATAGTAGCCTTCGACAACCGATTTGGGTTACACGTGGTATAACCATTTCCGATTAGATCTTCTGTTTCTGATATCCAAGCAATTGAGTGTTTGTGATAAATGGACTAATTGAAGTTCCTATAAACATGTAGGTGCGGAAGAAACTTGATAGGGACCTTAGGGTAGATTAGTGAAGAGAATTAGAAACAATAAAAGGATATCAAAACAACATGTGATCTATTGTCATCATTCTAACAATTTTTCGGCTTTTATTGCCCCTTAATTCCCATTAGAATTGCCGAGGATCAGTGATAAGGTCGATGAGGGTGGCTGCTATAATATATCTTCCTCAAAAAGTCAACTTTTCGAAACTTAAAACATATATATCTATCGGCAAGCTAATGAGCGAATACTAGCAACCGTTGTTATATTACATTGTTATTATTGTTCCCTTGGTTTCTGAGAAGAATACAGGCCTTCAACAGCCCATCTACCCACTGTCATATTCTGTGCAAATCTATTCAGCCAACTGGCTCTACGACTGCCGATAATCTGTCATTTCCTCAGCCAACTCACACGACCTCCTCTCACTGACGACCCACTAGTTGCTCCCCAATCACCTACCACTCAAAAGATGACCTGAACTGCACGCGATGTCGTTCGATGATCTCCTCACTGGTGTGTACCAAATCCATCTTCTTTGTCTCCTACATATATATCGAACGATAGATTTTTGACGGCTTTGTCTCTAGAGTCACCGCCTGCTAATTCTTTCTCGCCAACCATTTGGTCTTCAATATGGAATCAGTGAAGTTGTCACCTATTGACAAAAGTCCGCAACAGGCTGTTGGGAATGCTATTCTTGACGTGAGCTCCAAGTTTCTGGCCCACGTAGAAGGAGTGACTGACTTCACTTTTGTGTTGAGAATCCAAATCTTGTTCCTTATACTGAGAGAAGGGGGGGCGGCTGGTTTCCAAGCTGATTTCATATTGATGAAGGTGCACCATCCTGGCTGATTTGAAACGATGCTTCCTTAATAAGTGAAGGAAATAACCTCTTTCAGATTTCTTCCGTTGACAGTGATCGGTGTGCAACTATTTTAATATCAGCTTTATCACCCTTTTATAACTATCTTTATCACCATGTCAAGAAACAAGAAATAAATTACATTTTGGAATTTAGTAAACGGTTGAAAGAAAGACTGGAATATTGAGGGAAATTTTTCTACAGTTTCCATCGACAAAAACACTAAACAGAGAGAAGGAGATTTACGGCGATTATGTCTGACAACATATTGGGTAAGTCAACATAATTGAAATTTAAAAAAATCTTGGACTGGAAGTCACTACAGGCAGTCCTTCAGGAAATCAACAGTCAGCCTGAAAAGCTCAATTGTAGCATTTATAACTGCAACAATGAGTGGCAAAGATATGAATCTGTTAAAGAATACTAATTCGTCCTTGGTGTTAATAAACTACGAAATATTAGGCTCAGGGTTTTCTGATGCTTATGCCCTCCAATCACTTAACTCCAAAGATGAAAACGATGCTGTTTTATGCTATGAAGATTTTCACAATTTAATAAAATTATTGTACGAACATAAGGGTGCAGATTAAAGCTGTTTGTAAAAATGACGCAGTGCTCAATCTATCTAGATAATCAATCCTACATAGAAAACTTAGTGATAGCTATTTCGTCCTAGTTTGGGACTCTGCATCAGTACTCACCCACCGCAGGGGGTTCAAACCCAGGACCTTCTGGTTACAAGGCTGGAGAGCTCGTATACCATTAAGCCACTGGGTTTCGATCCAATGGTCAGCCAATGAATCCTAACTTGTGCCAATTCACGACATAGCGCTACCACCAGCCAATGTCTCCCGTGGCGAGCATTTGTCCTCAAACACAACCTGCTGCACCCTACTGGCCACGACTTCTCACTAGAACCAGCCCAGGTAACTACCTATTTGAATAGGGTAAGCCGCTAGTGAGCATCTCATCGACATTCAAGTGCTGGTTTGTAGGGATCTGATTGGTTACAGGATTTCATCATGAGCTGATATTGGTTAGAGAACCATTCTATTTGTTGGTGTTGACATCTGAATACTATTCTCACAGTTCAGTACTGCATTAACAACAGAATATTTTTTATATGTAATTGAAAATTTTATTTCATATCGTTTAATGTAAACCAAAATCACACGCTCAGTGATTGGTTAAAGAATATAAACTATACATGTATATAAATAGCACCTTGATCACTTGAAAATATACCTTGGCCTCCGTGTCTTGCTTTGTGCTGTTAAACTTTCATTAAAAAAAAAACTGACTTCAAATTTGACTTCACTTAGAGAACCATTGAAAACCAGCCATTTGAAGAAATCCTCGTTTGGGACTAACCAGTAATAAGCACCCACCGCATGGGCTCGTACCCACTACTTTCTAGTTACAAGGCTAGCGAGCCTGTAGACCACTTAACCACTTAGACCCAAATCAATGGCCAGTTCATGAATTCTAACATCACTAGTGACAAGCTACAGAACGGAGTTTCCTGTAGTCCTAGTGAGAAGTCATGGGGTCAATGGAGTTCGGACAAATGCTTGCAGATGACAATGGTATGACTGGTATGAAGTCGAGCGCATGGACCAGTGAGCCACAGCTACATTGTAAAGAATTACAACAATATGTGGTATTCCAATTTTGACGATGGACTAACATCAAACAAAGTTAGAGAACGTTTGAAAACCAACAGAGAGTACTGGACAGGTAATATTGGGTGGTCATAGCAGTAAAATCACACACTGGTAAAAGTTAGAATTCATAGGATTTGTCACTGAGTCGGGGTTCCAGTGTCTGAATGGTCTATGAGCTCGCCAGTCTTTAGACTGCAAGGTTCTGGCTTCGAGTCTCAGTGGGTGTGTAATGCTAATTGGTGGTAAACTAGCCTGACGCAACTACTGTCTAGTACTATCCTGCTGCTTTTCTAACTGATATCAATCCGTAGTCAATCTTGAAATATAATTTTGAATAAAGCAATAACAACATTTGTTTTTGCAGAATAAAATGGTACCACCATCATCGCTCATTTCGTTGACTTCTCATCAGCTGCTGCTTACAGGCCAAAGTCATTATTAAGTGGTATGTCTACAGAAACAATTTTAACATACTTGCACAGAGTTCATTTTAAGCCAAAATCAATCAACCAACATATGCATACAATATATATATATATATATATATATATATATATTATTATTATTATTAAACAGTATTCCGAACAATAATGATCATGCACAATGGAAACTTTCAACATTACATAATCAGATGAAAGAGAGATGAAAATATCCAGTAACCAGGGCAAATAAAGACTGATAACTGATTTTTTCTAAACGCATAAATAAGTTTCAGGCGCTTGATAGAGATGACTTCATCAAACTTGGCATGGGTCATGAGATGGACATCGCAAGATCGCTGAAAATTATCAATAGGTAAAAGAGTTTAATTCTCCTCAAGTTTGCCGTAGCGATATATATACAGCCTACCCCCAAATATTCATCAACTTTATTCAACAGCTGTACAACAACGGTCCACGTCAAGTGATCCACAACGAAACACTCAGCGAGGCGTTTGGAGTAAAAACAGAAGTCAGACAAGGCTGCTTATTATCACCAATGATATTCCTAATTTGCAATTAATAGTGTTCTCTGAGCTGGTTGGTTGAGTTGACGAGCTTTCCTCGTCCTTCTAGACAACATCTTCAGTGCAATATTTAGCCTAATTCCTAATTGTGGTGGACTGGACTTATGCATCAGACAGCGAGTGGGAAACGAGAAGACAGGGATATCCTGGACCGACGTGAAGAAACTAGAAGACATGGATTTCGCGCGTGGATGATTTATGCTTGATGTCACACAAAATCGAAGACTTACAAGAGAAAGCCGACAAACTGGTCGAAGAAGCAGCCAGCGATGACAGGATTCCAGGTGAACATAGACAACGTGGAGGTTATAAAAATAACCAACCAATAACAACAACAACAACAGCAACATCCAGCTCCAATCAAAATCAATGGGAGGGATTTGAAAGAGGTTACTTCATTCACTTATCTAGGGAGCATTATCTCGACTACAGGCAGTCGGAACGGACGAGGATGTCAAATTGAGAATCGGGAAGGCGAGAAACACATTCATCAACCTGAAACCAATCTGGAAATCGTCTTCATTCAGCATCAACAACAAAATTCGGTCGGATTTTAAATACGATACAAACGTAGAGTCAGTCAGTTCTTCTATACGGATCAAAAGCTTGAAGGGCGACCGCATGACCCACAAAGAATATTTCCAACAGCCTGTTGCAGACCTTTATCAACCAGCAACTGTATTCGCTGGATCTATACTGAAGATCAGATGGCCGGGCTGGAAAAAATCACCAACAAGAAACTATGGGAACAATCAAAACAAGAACAAACCAATCGCCAACCAACAAATATGCAGGAGAAAGTGGAGATGGATTGGACACTCACTCGCTGAGGAGGCCACTGCTGGGTGATATCGTGCGCGCGTCAGGCCATTGTTCGAGTGGAACCAGGCCGAAAGGGAGGCGCCGATTGGGACATCAGTGCAAGGGTGACATGGAGGAGATCGTGTGAAGAGGAGTTGAAACAGTATGAACAGACTAACATGGATTCAGGTGAAAAGTACAGGATAAGCAAGACAGAAGCAAAAGGAGACGTGCAGTTGTGAAGCTCTATGTTCCATTATAAACCCAAGAGAACAATAATAATAATAACAATGATTGGTTAAAGATTATGATTTTTATAAATAGATAATTAGTGGTTTGGTCAATTGAAAATATACTTTGCCTTCTGTGTCTCACCTTCTGATGTGTTACACTTTTATTTTTCTACACTGACTTCAAATTTGACTTCACTTAGAGAACCATCAAAATCAAGCATGGAATACTGGACAGCCAATTGAAATCCTAGTTTGGGACTAACCAACAATACGTACCCACCTCAAGGATTCGAACCCACTACATTCTAGTTACAAGGCTAAGGAGCCTGTAGACCACTCAGCCACTGACAACCAACTCAAAAGGGCCAGTTCATGAATTCTAACAACACTAGTGACTGGCTACAGTATGGAGTTTCCTGCAGTTCTAGTGAGAAGTCATGACTAATTTGGGGGCCATCCCGTCAGCAGTGAGGACAAATGCTCGCCAACGATGACATTGGCTGGTGCCAATCGCGCTAAACTCACTAATCGACAGAAGCTAGAATTCATGGACTGACCACTTAGTCGGGTTTCAGTAAGTGAATAGTCTACGAGCTCGTCTTTTAACAGTTAAGTCCTGAGTCCAAACCTTTGTGTTGGATGCGCACTGCAAAAAAGTCTCACACTAGGCCAAAAGAACAGTTGACTATCCAGTACTCCATGCTGGTATTCAGTGGTTCTCTAACTGATGTCAATGTGTAGTCAAACGTGAAAAATAATTTTTTTAAAATATTTTATGACTTACATATGAGTGTTTTTTCATCACATGTTCAGTATAAACACCAGATAATCCAGAGACTGTACAATAGGCGGAAATCATAATTATACCATGTGTTGTAATATGAATAGTTGATGATGATATCGGATGAAGAACACATGAAATACTCTGACATGTAGACGGTGGAAGAGAAGAAGACTTCATAAAGGCTTTTTGTGCATCAAAATTTCCATAGCTGAAAAAAAGTTAATCATAATAATCATCGAAATAATAGATTTGTGTATTCTCAGTTTCCCCCAAAAGAAAAGTAGATATTATCAAAAGAAAAGTCAGTATTGCTAAATGTTCTATTCAGCTTGGGTAACACATGTCGACACTCAACTTTACGATAGTTTGCCTTCAGTTTTTGGGGCAGTTGAGTTAGATTTCTTCTCGTTTCTTTTTATTCTAGTTCAAATAGTACGGCTTCATGGTCGAAGCTATGAAGTTTTAGTGGCGTTTATGGTTTTACGATGGAGAGTGGTTAGCCTTACTCTCAGCCTACCCTGTTTCGCAGTTTGCCACTGACTAGTGAGCTAGGTGAGGTATTTGTGTGTTCGTCGGCTGTGATACAATCTCAGACCGTTTGAGTGACTGACGAGCATTCTCTTCCTCGATCACCGACACACTGTTGAATCAGATATAATGCCCAGAATTAGTGGTGAGTATATAAGTGGGGACATGGAATATCCGCACCATGTATGAGATTGCCAAAGCTTCCCAGATTGCAAATGAGATGAAAAGATATCGATCCACACAAAAAACTTGGAGGATCTGGACTTCGCCGATGTCAAATATGTCTGATTTCCCACAAACCGGAAGATATGCAAGTGAAAAGCAACAAGCTGACAGAAGAAGCATCGAAGATAGGACTTCAGGCGAGCATAGATCAATCAGAGGTGATGAAGATTCCTGGCCAACACCACCACCACCAACAACAACAACAGACAACAACCAGCCAGCATAAATGGGAGGAACCTGAAAGAAACCATCTCCTTCACCTACCAACCTAACTGAGAAGCATTGTTTCAACTACAGGCGGAACTGACGAGGATATCAAAGCCAGAATCGGGAAAGCAAGACAAGCCTTCATTAATCTCTAGTCTGTGTGGATATCAACAGCACTCAGCATGAAAAAGAAGATCCGGATTTTCAACTCCAATGTGAAGTCAGTGCTACTTACTATATGGCTCAGAGACTTGGAGCGTCATATATGATATGTATCCACATGATGTGTGTTTTGTTTTGACAGTCTATTATATTTTGCTATGTGTATATGGATCGATATTTCATTATAACTGACTTTTGTCTGTCCACTAAATAAATAAACATGTATGACCTTGTTATCACATGACATTGCAACCAATCATGTTAAGACTGGCTATTTATTGGTTCATGTGTATTAGCCATTTTCATATATGCTTTTGTATTAGACCCTTGTTCATTTTCTTGTTCACACACTTTTTCGTACACTCGTACCATTTCACTCACACTCTTGTGTGACATCTATTTTCCTTGTCTGGAAAATACAAGTATCATCGTAACCCTAGTGGTCTTCTGATTTCCCTCTTTCCGCGGCGTCAGGACTATTAACTACTCGACGAGTACATAAAAATATATTACCTCAAACAAACTACAGACCTTCATTAACAGTTGTCTTTGCTCAATACTACTCAAGGTCAGATGGCCGGCCAGAAAAAGATCAGCGACAGGGATCTCTGGCAATGAGCGAACCAACCAGGCAGGAAGAAATCAAGATGGATTGGCTGGTCATACTCTCAGGAAACCATCAAGTGACATCACTAGACAAGCCATTGCTCGAGTTGGAACCAGAAAGGGAAGCGGCGAGTTTGTCATCAGTGCAAGGGTGATGTGAAGAGGAGATGAAAGTGTGTGGGCAGACTTGGAGCGGGGTGAAAAAGTTGACAGAAAACCAAACGCAATGGAGACGCGCGTCTGAAACCCTATGTTCCTCTGGTAATTAAAGGAAATAATAATATAAGTGATCGCCAAAAACGAATTTACTCCCCCCCCTTCGTTTCACTGCCTTCATAATGCATATAACAGAGGGGGTTGACAACGATTTGAATTCCCTCAGGTAGAGTTAGTCTTACGTCATTTTGTATTGATCGCTTAGGGGAATACTGTAATCACGTCAATTGTTGCAGTTAAGCTCTTTTATAGATGATTTATCGACTTTTGCTTCACACAACTGGAATGTCTATTGTGGCATTTGCTATACTATGCACGAAAACACCCCGCACCCACTTTTATCCACATCTTTTCAAAATTACTAGTGACTTTCAAGTATGGCTATACAGGAAATACCAGTTTGTGTACTAGTGAACAAGTGTGTCATGTAATACTTTATTGTACAGTGGAGATGACGAAAGTAACGCAAATAATTTGGAATTTAGAGCCTTTGTTGTACTAATGCATAAAGAAGGAACATCAGAGATCCTAATAAGCTTCTCATTGGAGCTGGAATTAGGGTAGTACATAAACTAAACATCTCAATCAGAGATACACTTTCCTGGCTTAAGGATCCGATATATGCAATTAAGGAAAATAATATAATTTACCAAATAATATGTAATGCTGATAATATGTAAGATCAGTTACATAGATCAAACTAACAGATTGAGTTCTATTAGATTACCAGAATACAGAAATCAGGCTACAGATAGAATGATTTACACTGTTTATTTAAATAGGCTGAAGAAAATCCCAGCCATTGCAATGCGTTCACTTGTATGTAATTACACAGTAGAATGAGACAGGGTAAATGTACTAGGAAGTATATTATTGTAAGGTGAAGGAGGAAAAAGAGGTTATTCACGGAATCTTTGTTAGTTGAATCAACATCAAACACGTGCAATCAGAATGCCGCAATATTGTTAATACATCAAACGAACAAAGAATATTCACATCTTCGATAAACTGTTCTTCGTCATCAGGTTCTACAGTTAGTTATATATATACATAACAGTGAGTGAATGAACTAGTGTTATTAACAACATTAATGTTGTTTAAATAACATCGAATCAATAATGGTAATAGTATCAATGGATTACAGTTCGACAGCATCAACATAACACTATACACTGAATGAATATCAGAAGAATTAGGAGAAATAATAACACAAATTCATGAATCTATAGTCTTCACTGAAAATCGACCAGGGCAGTAGTAGTGACTGGCTGAACTTGCTTCTTCAGCACACACAGAACTGGCTGTTTCACGCAAATCGCGATAGACTGAGCTGCTTGGAGTATGTGGTTCCTGGATGTTTCTGGCAATTTATTTGGTACCCAGTAGATGGTGAATAAGGTTTCTAAAATCTTGGCTTTGTGGCCAGTTTGCACCAGGTGGTCTAATATACGGCTACTGATGCTCCTCACTATACCTTTGCTTAGCCATAGTGGAAGATGTTCTCGAGTACGAGAAATCAATTTTCTAGACCAATAGCCAATATAACTCGCTCCATTACAAGCGCAGTTGAATTGATAGATACAATTTGAAGTGGCCAGCTAGTCTAGGTACTTCATCTTTCAGTCGAGGTAGCACCATCGGTTGTGTAGGAAATAATACTTGTAGTTCGCCAGCATTAAAAGTTCTTTGAACTGATTTTCTTAATTTCTTCGCAATTATCTCGCTTGGTATATCGCCCATGAATTGTAGTCGTACATGAAGTGGCTTCTTGTTTACAGATAGTGAGTAGTCCTTTTCCACCTTCTTCGTCATATATTTCTTGATAAATTTTTCGGGATAGCTATTTTCAATCAAGGTATCATATACAATCCTTAATTCATCTTCACTTACTTCTTCTGAGTATATAGCTCTAACCTTGTGGCTGAGGGTCTTTACTAAATTTCTTTTGTACTTGATAGGAACGAAGCTGTGAAAATGTGTATATTGTCCTGTCCAAGTACTTTTCCTATACAAATTTCTTTTTATGGTGCCATCTGGTTTTCTTGTAAGTATGACATCCAGGAAGGCAATTCTGTCTTTGGATTCCTCATCGCATGTGAATTTCATAGCAGAATGTACTTCATTGTATTGAGTTATTACTGTGTGGTAAAAACCATCAAAATTTCGATATTAGACCACCTGGTCCAAACCCGCCACAAATCCAGCATTCACGAATCCTTCTCTATCATCTATCAGGTACCAAATAAATTGCCAAAAACATCTAGGAACCACATACTTCAAACATCTGCGTCTATCGCGATTTGCCTTAAACAACTGGTACTCTGTGTGCAGAAGAAACAGCTCCAGACAGCCACTACTACTGCCCTGGTCAACCTTCATTAGAGACTATAAATTCATGAATTTGTATTATTATCTTTCCTGATTTTTCTGATATTCAGTATGTATTGTTGTGTTTATGCTATCGAAGTGTAATCTATTGATATAACTATTATTATTATTATTGATTGATTGGATGTTATTTAAACAACATTAATGTTGTTAATAACACTAATTCATTGATTCATTCATTCACTATTATGCATATATAACTAATTGTTGAACCTGATGATGAAGAGCAAGTTATTGGAAAAAATATTCTTTCTTCGGTAGCCACTCTTTTTAAAAAAAAAATTCCAATAGGTATTTTGAATTATTTTATTTCACTAAACAATTATGCAATAAACTCAATAATTTTATTACATACCTGTGAACTATACCAGCAGTAAGTAATAAAAGAAGAGAGAACCATTGGATCAGTGTAATTCGTCTAAAATTAAAATAGGCACTTGAAATAGAATAGAAAAAATTAACCAGTAAAACAAAATTGTACAATAAACGAGGCATAAATAAATCGTACAAAATTTATAGTGAATGTAAGCATGTTTGGAACAATTTCAAAACCATTTGTGAGCACTACGGAGGGCACTGCATCATTCAGCAGTTATATAATGATGACATATACCAACAAGGCTGCCTACTATCACTGACTATGGAGGATTGGACAGTGATGAAGATACTTTGGGGAGCAAGAAGATAAGCACACTCTAGAAGGTCTGAACTTCGACGATGACTTATCTCTGGTGTCACATTAAACTCCAAGATTTACAGGCTAAAAACCAATGGATTGATAAAGGAGCCAGTGAAGAGCACCAGGACTTCAAGTGAATATATATAGAGAGAGGACAGAGGTAAAATACCTAAGATACCCGATAGAAAAAATCACAAACACTTAAAATGTTTGGAGTGAGAAATCTAAACGGGGAAGTCACCCTTATCATTTATCTAGGCGGAGCGGCTGACAGTATCAAACGGTGGAATTGGGAAAATAAGATAGATATTGATTTGATTACCTGGAAGACTTCATGATGAGCTGATATTAGTTAGAGAACCACTGGAAAACCTGGGAGTACTGGACAGCTGCTTTGTCTTAGTTTAGGGCTCTTCAGTAGTACGCACCCACCAGAGGTGGCTCGAATACAGCAACTGCTGGTCACAAGGCTAGCGAGTTCGTAGACCACTGAGCCAATGGCATCCGATTCATTGGGCCATGAATTCTAACTTCTGCCAATCCACAACACAGCGTGATAATTTCGCGATGTCTTTTTCGATGAGTTACTGCCTCATCTTCAACTTGCTCTACTCTACTGGCTACGGCTTCCCGCTACAGCAAGTTGAGGATGAGGCAGTAACTCATCGAAAAAGATATTTCGAAATGATCGTACTATGTTGTGGATCGGCAGAAGTTAGAATTCATGGCCCATTGAATCGGATGCCAGTGGCTCAGTGGTCTACGAACTCGCTAGCCTTGTGACCAGCAGTTGCTGTATTCGAGCCACCTCTGGTGGGTGCGTACTACTGAAGAGCCCTAACTAAGACAAAGCAGCTGTCCAGTACTCCCAGGTTTTCCAGTGGTTCTCTAACTGATGTCCGCTCATGATGAAATCCCCCACACAACTGATACTTGAAGATCTTGATTTGTCTGAAATCAGTGTTGAAATCTGCTGAATTCACTACAGAGATTTTCAAAAGTAATGTCAAATCAGTGCCTCTAAACAGTTCAGAGACTTGGAGAATCATTAAAGGCATCTTCGACAGGCAACAAGCTTTCATCAACAGCTGTTTCCGCTGGCGCCATACTGAAGATTATGTGGCTAGCCAGCGAGAATAAACAACGAAAAGCTCTGTCAGGTTAATGACCAGCCAACAATCTATTGCCCAACAAATATGAACAGGAAGGTGCGGATAGAATGGATACACGCTGACCGTTGGGTGGAGCCGCTTACTGGCGCCTCCTCACCCGCAGTAGGGAAACAATGATTTGGGCATGGGTTCAAGGGTGATACGGAAGAGTTCCTGTAGGCGGGAGAAAATGGCAGCCGGTCGGCAACCGTGGAGTCAGCTGAAAAGACTGTTAGGAACAGGACAAAATGGAGATGTACTGTTGAAAGACTAATTTCCACTTGGAACCCGGGGAATGATAATAACACTAGAAATAAAATTAGTCTTCTTCTTAGCCGGACAAATGATGCTATTTCCATGATAGGGTATTTCTCATTCACAACCTCAGGAGGAATGGAACAGCTATACCACTACATGTGTAACGACAGAAGATAAGGATCAGACAACAGATCGTTTTTTGAGAAAATCAACAGATATTTATAGATTTTTATGTACATTATTATTCGTTATCGTTAGGAGAGAAACAGCATCTTCTGATTGGTCGTTTCCTTGCTGAAAGTTATTCTGTCATCTCTTCGTAGCCATTTCTTTGAAGGTCAGACCATATATCTGAGATTCATACTCACTCACGCAAAGGCTGCCATGATTGGCTGTTGAGTTGCTCTTTGTTCTTGTTATTTTCTTGTGACCAAGACTTCGGAAGTAAACATTGACGTAAATTGCTGTCTACCAATTTTAGCTAGCAGACAGCTCTCAATACACATGCAGTTACGCACTAGTTATGATGGAGAAGATTTGTAGCTCAGGCGGATGATTTTGATGTGGTTGTGTTCTCTGAGCTGGATAGTTAATTCGCGAAGCTTTCATCGCCCTACTAGGCGGCATTTTCAGTGAATACTTCAATTCGATGAAGTGAGCATTTAGATTTCTCTACGAGTTTATTAATCATCTCTCCTGGTGACCTTGGACCTTGTGATTGGTTGTTTTTGTATTTTCACACCTTCTAGGCGGCTACTTGTATTGCAACTGATAGTTTCTTTGACTTGAACTTTGACCCTTTGTGTGTGAGGTTTCCTTCTTATCGGTTGATAAATTTTGTCTATCTCGATGTATCTATTGATTGATGATTCATTGGAATACCAGGCAGCCTTCTAAAAACTCTCTAGCATTCACAAATTAACTATCCAGCTCAAAGAACATAACCAGATCAAAAGTTACACGCTAGCATAAAATAGGATGAGGTTAAATGACAGTCTTTAAGTCTTGTAAAACGGGATGGACGGAGATATCAATGAAGGACTTTTCATTTCAATTTCCCAAACTGTTCAGTTACCATTGTTCATGCGATTATGAACAATAATAAATTGTGTTCGAAAAATGATCTAGTAAACAATACTGTTCAACTGTTTATATGAATTAATGCATTAAAAACAATAGAAAAAAACAAGTCAAAAAACATCTTCCACTATGGCTAAGTAAAGGTGTAGTGAAAACTATCAACAGTTCGATATTGGACCAGCCACAAAGCCAGCCAGCGTTGAAGAATCCTTCTCTATCATCTACCGGGTGCCTAATAAATTACCAAAACCGATCCAGACAGCTCCCACTACTGCCCTGGCCTTTAGTAGAGACTGTACAATCATGAATTTGTATTATTATCTTTCCTAATTTTTCTGATATTCATTCAGTTTGTTGTTATGTTGGTGCCTGCTGAACTGTAATCTATTGATATAATTGATTTTATTTTATTTAAACAGTATTAATGTCGTTCATAACACTAATTCATTCATTCACTATAATTTATGTATAACTGTAGAGCCTGATGATGAAGAGGTTATCGAAAAGAGTACTCTTTGTTAAGTATCCATTCTTTTGTAAATTTTAATGAGCATTTAAAAAAAAACTTATTTTAGAACAAAAAACGAATATTTTCTACATAATTATTTCAGTGAAAGTTACAAGATTTCATCATGAGCTGACATCATTTAGAGAACCACTGGAAATCCTGGAAGTATTGGACAGCTGTTTCGTCCTAGTTTGGAACTCTTCATCAGTACGCATCCACCGACAGGGTTCGAACCCAGGACCTTCTGGCGAGCCACTGGGACTCGATCCAACAGCAAGTCTATGAATTCTAACTTCTGCTGATTCATGACATAGCGCGACCATTTCGCAGTGTCTTCTTTGATGAGTTATTGCCTCATCTTCAACCGGCTGCACCATTCTGGTCACGGCTTTCACACTACAGCTGTGTGTGTGTGTGTGAGTTATTTTATGTTTATATGAATCAGTGCGTTAAAAAAACAAATAATTGATTTTGGAACAATAAACGAATATTTCAGACATAATTATTTCAGTGAAAATATTAGTAATGGGGCATAGTGTGTCTGTGTGTGTTAGAAAAATATTTCGCGCCATCATCGAACAAAGCATAGAATGGTGGTCAAACTTGTACATGAACTTCATCGGCGTGAAAAACGCTTTCAAAGGTGTTTACCAGGAGGAAATTTAGCAATTACTTCAACACTAGGGTGTGCTGTGCCTAAATCTTTATCGAAATCATCATTCAACAGCTATATGACAGTGGCTTGTGTCAGATGATCCACAATAGAAAATTTAGCGAGGCCTGCCTTCAAAGTGAATACAGAAGTAAGACAAAGCTACCCGCCTATTATCACCAATGACATTCCTAAATGTGGTGGACTTGATTATTTGCACAGGAAGTGAGAAGACAAGAATGCGTTGGACTGATCATAAGAATCTAGAAGACCTGGATCTGGCGGTGGATGATTTATGTCTAATGTTACTCATACAAACTCGAAGACTTGCAGGTGGAAACCAACAACCTGCCAGAGGACACTGATAGCGAAGACAGGACTCCATGTGCATATAGAGAAGACGGAGGTGATGAAGATAACCAAGCAATCAACCTCCAACAATAGCAACAATCAGCACCAATCACTATCAATGGGAGGGGTTTGACAGGGGTCCTTCCTTTCACTTATCTAAGAAGCATTGTTTAAACCACAGGCAATGGCACTGATGGAGATGTTAAAGAAGGTCAGAATCGGAAAGGCAAGACATCACTCTGAAGTCGGTTTGGAAGTCTTCTACACCTAGAATGAAGAACAAGATTTGGATTTTTAACACCAATGTCAAGTCAGTCAGTTCTTCTATGTGGGTCGGAAACTCAGCGTGAACCTAATGAAAAACACTTCCAATAGCCAGCTGCAGACTTTTATCAACAGCTGTCCACTTCCCTGGTTCCATACAGAAGATGGAACGGCTGGCTAGCAAGAATAAACAACAACAAGAATTTATAGGAGCAATCCAATCAATAATCTATCGTCCAGGAAGTATGTGTAAAATGGAGATGGGTCGGGCACACACTGAGGAAGCTGTCGAACAACATTACGCTCAATGCAGGTCGTCACTTGAATGGAAGGTGAATGCGAAACGACGAGTGGGTCGTGGGTGCTAGGGTGACATGGAGGAGATCTTGTGGGGAGAAGGAGATGAGAGAGTGTGGACAAAGTGGAGATGTGTTGTTGAAGCCTTATGTTTCAATCGGAACCTAAGGGAACAGTAATCCTACATAATAATAATACTTGCTGCTGATCAATCAATGTGTCTGTATGAAAGTCTTAGAGGAGTTCAGTCGTCAACTCGAATGTAATGTCTGTAGCTATAGCACTGGGTGACTTCAGGTTCGAATCCCAGAGGGGACATAACTTCCTTACAGATTACACATGCACTTTGCTGACGAGTGCTAATAAGCACGAAAATAAGATTCAGGATTTCTTGTCGATCACCTCGAACTACCTACTACCACTCAGTAGTATGTAACACTGTTGTAAAATAATTACACAATGCATCGAGTTGCAGAATACTTAAAATAAATATAAAGTTAACATTTGTGATTGTTAGATCTTATCAGAAACTCGATTATTTAACCCGGAAGGAGATGGTAATTTGTAAGTCTGTAAACTTGAACTCAGAGTACTATTGATTAACAACCAAAGTTTTCCGAATCCAGGCATTGAGTCTTATGCTGATTATCCTTACAGAATGATCGTCTGTTGCTATTACTATTATTATTGTCTTCGGTTCCTGGTGGAACATAGGGAGGCTTTAGAAACACATCACCATTAAATCCTGTTACTTGCAGTCAACTTTACCTGGCCCAGTAAGTGATCACAGACCGTCATCTCCTCCATATCACTCATGGAAGCCCAACCCGTCATTTCACGCTGGGGTTGCTGTAATGTGATGACTTGGTCTGTGATAACACTCGACGATCTCCTCAGCGTGTATCTTATCCACTTCCATTTTTCTCGGCATATTTTTTGGAGTAATACGTTCTGGGTTCATTCCCTTTTGTGGTCCCTTTGTTGATTATCCTCACTGATTCGAACCTGATTTTCTTTATAGAGCGTAGGCAGTCACTGATTGAAATTTGAAGTGTATTATAAATCATTCAGGTGACATGCATGTCAAGAATATGAATTACATTGAAGCACTTATTTGACATTATTGTGTTGAATACCTGGATCTTGTTTTGTCTTGATATCTTCATCCAAATGGATGCATGTAGCTGAAACGATATTGCCTACATATGTAGAATAGGTGGCTTCCTTCAGATTTCCTCCGACGATAGTGACTGGTGCTTGTTGTTATTTCTGGTTAGGTATTCGCATCATTTCTATATTATCTATGTTCATTTGGACTCCTGTCTTCGCTGCTTCTTCAGCCCACTGGTTGGTTTTCGCCTGTAGACCTATGAGTTTATATAACATTAGGTGTAAGTCGTTTACGGAGTCTAAATCTCCCAGAATCTTCTTATCGACTCATCGTATTCTTGTCTTCTTGCTCTTCAAAGTCTGTGACCTGATCCAGTCTTACAGAGTGAGACAGCTGTTTGCAGTTATGAAGCTATAGTGTTAAAACATGTGCTTCTTTGGCTTATTCTTACTGGTGAACTACACATATGTGAACATGGACTTTTTTCACAAACCGCAGTGCTCACATTACTCAAAATGGTTGAAATCAACTGTGAAAGACTTGATGATTTCGTGTTATGCGCGTGTTTGGCACTTCTCAACTCTTTCACACTATTATTGATACAAATTATCTTACCATTACAACAAACTTCGTACACTACAGGTACCAAGAAGTACGCCACACAAATTCTCATAGTACGTTCGGACAATGAAACCAAGCAGATGGCTGTCGAACCTTTGAACTGAAGTCTGCTTTATAAGGCAGTGGAGTGGCATCACGAGGTTTATCCCCATAGTTGACGGTGACTGAAACAGGTTCACATAAGGCATTCGATCTTTTCGGATTCTGGAGCCTATATACACCAGTGGGGTTTGGAATCAGGCCTTTCGAACTCGCCTAGCAATACAGACCAGAGTGTCGACTAATTCACTTGTAATTATCAGACGTTCCCACCCACCTTTTTCATTTTTGTGATGAACATCTCAGGAGTGTGTAGACGGTGAATGGAACTTACCTGGTAGAGGCTATGTACTCGTGGCTATGTTAGAGTTTTTCGAGAGGTAGATCAAAGTCTACCCACCTTCGGCAGTATAAGGTCACTTATGGTTACCCGGTTTTCGCCTACATAGCAGAAAAACTAGATAACTTTCTTTGCTGAATAAACACCTCAATATTAGATGGTTGGAGGCTATCGACCACAGGAAGCCTTGCCTAATCGAGGTTTTGTGTTTGTTGACACTCCTCATGGAAGCCGATCTGAAACTTTGAAGGAACTAAGGCCCCATCTGAGATTCAAGGTTGCAGATGCGCCTTGATGACAAGTGCCAGCTAACATGCAACGTAGGTCCAAGGTTCCTTATGGATTGTCTCTAACCATACTCTTTCAACTCCTCTTCACACGATCTCCTCCATGTCACTTTTGCACTGATGTCCCAATCGGCTCTTCCCTTTCGGCCTGGTTCCACTCGAACAATGGCCTGACGCACGCGCGATGTCACCCAGCAGTGGCCTCCTCAGCGAGTGAGTGTCCAATCCATCTCCACTTTCTCCTGCAAATTTGTTGGTTGACGATTGGTTCTTGTCTTCTTCTTTGTTCCCATAGTTTCTTATTGGTGATTGTTTCCGGCCCGGCCATCTGATCTTCAGTATAGAGCGGAGACAGTTGCAACAGGCTGTTGGAAATATTCTTTGTGACCCGTCCGCCAAGTTTCTGATCCGTATAGAAGAACTAACTGACTTGACGTTTGTATCGTATTGAAAATCCGACCGAATTTTGTTGTTGATGCTGGCTGAGTGACGAAGATTTTCAGATTGGTTTTCTAGCCGTTCCCAAGCTTGGATAAAGAGGGCGGATTTGGGGCGTGGTGCTAGCAACTCTACCCCCAAAACGTAACCAAATTGCTACAGAAACTTCAACGCATAAATAGATTAAAAATAAACATATCTTGAAAGATTTTTAATTACAAAACCGATAAATTGATATTTTCGGACCTCACCGCCACGAAGACGGTACAGACCGCTTATAAGCGGACAGTCAATGAAGGTAATCCATAGTTTTTATTTTTATTTTTTTTAAATTGACCAAATGTCTACTAGTGTACATTTCATTTTTTTGCGCTTACTTTAAAACATAATTAAATAAAACGAAATGTAAAAATCATTGACGTAAAATCAGTAGGGCGAACAAAAAAATAGACAAAATGAAATTATTTTACATGAATACAATTATTATTTGTTTAATTCCACATAGTATTATTATTATGTGTTACCGTGTGGAATTGAACAAAAATGAAATTAATTTGTGCTTACTTCATTGACTTACTGTTTAATAATAAGCCTAAACAATATCGCTGTACTTAGGATTTTGAAATTCGAGAGTATCTGTAGAAAATCAAAAAGATAATTAAAGAGATTTACAGTAAATGAATCATATTGATAATGGCATTGTCATTATTATTATTATCAAAACAATTACTCCCTTAAAAAAAACTTGACATTAAGGCATTAAGAAGACAAATTTCGCGAGATGATATCATCATTTCGTAGTTTCTTTACAACCGCTTTACAACTAACATTATTATTATTATTATTATTATTATATCCTTTGATTCCTAGAGGAACATAGGGCTTCAGCTGCGAGTCTCCATTGCCTTCTGTTTTCTGCCAACTTTTTCACTCCGCTCCAAGTCTGCCCACATACTTTCATCTCCTCTTCACATGACCTCCTCCAAGTCACCCTTGGACGACCAACTCGCCGCCTCCCTTTCGGGTTCCACTCGAGCGATGGCTTGTCTAGTGATGTCACTTGATGGTTTCTTTCCTCAGAGTATGGCCAGCCAATCCATCTCCATTTCTTCCTGCCTATTTGTTTCACAATCGGTTCCTGATTGGTTCGCTCCCAGAGATCCCTGTTGCTGATCTTTTTTGACTGGCCATCTGATATTGAGTGGCATTGAGCGAAGACAACTGTTAATGAAGGTCTGAAGTTCGTTTGAGATGCTCTTTATGACGCGCTGGCCAAGTCTCTGATCCGTATGACGAGTATCACTGACTTCTTATTTGAGTTGAAATTCCGGATCTTATATTTGTTTTGATGCTGAGTGCTGTTGACTTCCACACAGACTTGAGAGTAATGAAAGCTTGTCTTGCTTTTCCGACTCTGGCTTTGATATCCTTGTCAGTTCCGCCCACCTGTAGTTGAAACGATGCTTCCCAGGTAGGTAGAGGAGGTTGTTTCTTTCAAATTCCTCCCATTTATGTTGGCTGATTGTCGTCTGTTGTTGTTGGTGGTGGTGGTGCTGGCCAAGAATCTTCATTACCTCAGTTTTATCTATGTTCACTTGAAGTCCTATTTTTGATGCTTCTTCTGCCAGCTTGTTGCTTTTCACTTGCATATCTTCCAGTTTGTGGGAAATCAGACATATATGACATCGGCGAAGTCCAGATCCTCCAAGTTGTTTTTGTGTGAGTCCATTGTATGCCTGTTTCCTCATTGCCCAGCCCGTTGTCTGTCGCATTATCCAATCTACTGCAATCAGGAAGATTAGTGGCGATAATAGACAGCCTTGCCTCACTCCCATCCTCACTTCGAAGGCTTCCGTAAGTTTCCCGTTGTGGATTACTTGGCATACAGCATTGTCGTATAGCTGTTGGATGAGATGTATAATTGTCGATGGGACCCCTTGGTAGTGGCGAAGTAGTTGCCAAATGACCTCTGTCTTAAACTACGCTGTCGAAGGCCTTTACAAAGTCGATGAAATTGAGATAGAGAGGTGACTGCCATTCTAAGCTTTGCTCAATGATGATCCGTAGTGTGGCGATTTGATCAATACATGACTTGTTTCTCATGAATCCAACTTGTTCCGGTTGTAGTTTTGCATCCAGGGCTTGTTTGATTCTCTCCAGGATGATTCAGCTCAGTATTTTGCTTGGGATGGACAGGAGCATAATTCCACGCCAGTTTTTGCATTGACTTAAGTCTCATTTCTTTGGTAGTTTGAATAAGTATCCTTTCTTCCAATCCTCAGGTACTTTGCCCTCTTTCCACACCTTCTCCAGCAGTGGCGCCTGCAACTAACATGGTTAACAACAATGACATAAGATAAAGTTCATGACAATTACTCAGTTAAATAAAATAAAACAAAAGTACATACTATGCTAATGACCAATCATATTTAGATAGGTCATGTAGTCCATGGTCGACAATGCTACTGATAATGTGCTGCTTGTGGAAAAGCAGATCAATCATCAGCTTCAGATTTTACTGATGCATGCTTTTATAAATGAAAAACATTATAAACAACTTAAAGCAATTGGGTCACATACTTACTCCTCAGCTTTATGGCCTTCCGAAGATCCACAAAACTGGGAACCCACTGAGGCCCATGTTAGACATGTCAAATTCTGCTTACCATAAAATCGCCAAATGGATTACACAGGTCATTACGCCTGTAAGAGATTCATTATCAAATCATTCTGTAAAAAGTTCATTTGATTTTACAGAAATGCTAGACACCTTGAACATTAAAGAAAAGGTTGTGTGTTCAATTGACATAGAATCTTTATTCACCAATGTTCCCCTTCATGAAACTGTTGATTTCATTTGCGATTACATCACAAGCAATGGGATAAACTTACCTATTCCTGTAACTTACATCAAAGACATCATCTTAATGTGTACAGAAAATATTCGATTCACATTCCAAGAAAAGGGATACAAACAAATCGATGGTGTTGCGATGGAGAACCCTCTGGGGCTTCTGTTAGCAGATACATTCATGTCAAAATTAGAGAAACAAATTCAAGGTACGCTTGGAGAAATTATACTGTATAAACGTTATGTAGATGATTCTCTCATTATTGGTAATAATAGTAAATCTATTGAAAGCTTTATTACCCTATTAAATTATATGCATCCAAATATTCGATTGACTTCCGAACTAGAATCGAATAACAAACTCGGTTTTCTGGATATTACAGTGACTAGGAGAGATAATGGTACGACTCAGCGATCTATTTTTCGTAAACAGACATGGAGTGGACAATATCTTCATTTGACCAGTTTTGTTCCTATCCACTATAAACGTTCCCTAGTGAAATGTTTGTTCTCAAGGGCCCGAAAAATATGCACGAGTGACATATTGATGGATGAGCTTCCACAAATACATCCAGTTTTTTTTAGCGAATGGTTATCCGGAACACTTTATCACTTGTCTCAGTAAAGAAAAGACAGCTTCTGTACCAAAGAAAGCTATCTATCTTTATTAACCTACCATTCAAGGATGACCACATTATGCATCTGACAGCTCAAAGACTTAGGTCAGCCATTAAACACACACTATATGCCGCATGTTTTTCCCTCACGTGCTGAACATTTTCGACCCTTGTACCTACGATTAAAGGACGAAATTCTGTGGGCTCTACTTCAAACTGTATCTACAAGTTCACCTACAGTTGCAGTGACAATTATATAGGTGTAGAACCAACAGAATGTTCCAATGTCGTAGGAAAGAGCATGTTCCAAAATTCCAACGCGATTAATCTGAATAGAAATCCAGCATCATCCATTGCAAAACACTTATTAATGTCTGGTCACGAAATCAATATTAATGACTGTTTCACAATTATTTCACCACATAACTCTAATTCCAGGTTGGTTATTGAAGGTGATGGAAGCACTTCGAGGGATTAATCACATATAGCCTAAACTGTGTGTACAAAAAACAATAGACTTCAATCTTCGCCTATCATGGACAACATGACCTATCTAAATATGATTGATCATTAGTATGCACTTTTGCTTTTATTTATATAACTGAGTAATTGTCATGAACTTTATCTTATGTCATTATTGTTAACCATGTTAGTTGTAAAGCGGTTGTAAAGAAACTATGAAATGATGATATCATCTCGCGAAATGTTTTTTTCTTAATGCCTTATTCAAATTATTATTATTATTATTGTTCCCTTAGGTTCCGAGAGGAACATACGGCTTAAACAACACATCTCCACTTTATTCCAGTTTTCTGCTGTCCTCTTCAGCTGACTGGCTAAACGACTGCCCACAATTTATCATCTTCTCCTCCTCCAACTCGCAAGAACTCCTCCTCCATTTCACCTTAACACTGATTACCCGTTCATCGCTTCCTACTCACCTTCCATTCCAGCGATTGCCTGCATTGTGCTAGATGCCATTAGACGGTCGGTCTCTTCACTGGTGTGTGCTCTATCTAACTCCATTTTCTTCTACATATTTGATTACATGGAGGATTTAATCATGAGCTGACATCAGTTAGAGAACCACTGGAAAACCTGGGAGTACTGGATAGCTGTTTCGTCCTAATTTAGGACCCTTCAGCAGTACGCACCCACCGGATCTTGGTTGATTTCTTGTCAGAGTTTCTGGTTGCTGATTCTTTCTGGCTGACCGGCCGGCCATTCGATCTTCATTTAATATTGAGCCATCGCTGTGGGTAACTGTTGACAAAGACATACGTTATATAATTTCATAATTATTTGCTGATTGGGTAGATCATGTATTAGGTTGCATGGATTTGGTCGGCTGCAGATTGGATCACGAGTTGACATCCCCCAGAGAACAGTTGTTTAATCCTAGTTTGGGACTCATAAGTAGCACGTACCTATCTTCTGGTTTCGAACTGCGAACCTTTTGGTTACAAGTCAAGCTCATAAACCATTCAGCCAATGGGACCTAACTCAATGGCCACTGCATGAATTCTAACTTCTGCCAGTTCACGATTTCAACACGACTGGCACCAGCCAACGTCATCCGTGGTAAGCATTCGTCGCCACTCTCGACTACCTGGTGGACCCCACTGATCTCTAACTGTTGGTTTTGAACCAGCTATGTCGGAAGGCACAGACAGCCTGGTTGAGGTCCTCGGAACTCTTAAAATCAATAATATAGGACTGTTGGTTATTCACTCACTTCACTGTTTGTATTCTCCTAGATCCAACAAAGTGTCATTCTCACTCCTATGTAGCTGGGACACTCTAAGTGAGAAGTTATACTTTGTTGGAGATAGGAATTTAATAGCAGTAGGGTTTTTTTCCCCCTAGAATGACCAATGAGCTAGCTAGATATACTTCCTTCTAGCTCTGAGTAAAATGGGTTAGAAAACGTCTAATTAGCAAAATGTACATGCATTTCATCTTGCCCTCTTGATTTAGAATTGTCTTTTAAATGATTTTTCTCATATTTCATTTCCCTCACCTTCAACCTTCTCACTGCAGATATGGTCATGTTGACTTCTATGACATGTTTTATTGACTAAGCAGCTTAAAGTTAAACTGCCTCGCTCGAGAATGATGTCAGAGAAGAGGAATATTCTCCCTCATAATATTTATTTTTATTATTCAACAAAGAGAGCTACTGAAATAAAAACGCAATCTGATAAAGTGCTTTGTCTGCCACAGAGGATGAGCAATCTGCTCGAATGATTGTCTTGATGAGGATCTTAATAATATTAAACGGTTGCTGAGTGAAAACAGTTATCCGGAAAAGTTTATTGATAAGAATATGAATCTAAAATCAAAGCAGACCAAAGTACCAACAGTCCCTAAAAAGGCTTTATTCTTACAAATGCAGTTCCTTGGGGATAACATCAGCGAGATACTAACACAGCGCCTTAGAAATGTGGTAAAAACAGTATTCCCCACTTCTGAATTACTCTGTGTATTCAAAACCACCCACCCGTATTTTGCGTTCGGGAATAAACGATAAACTGTCTAACTTCACTTCTTCTATGTGTATCTAAAAATTTAACTGCTCCTGTGAATTGAGCCAGTTAGTTACATACGCCGTACAATTAGGCGTGTTTATCGTCGGATTTCCGAACATCACCCTACATGGTTAAGTAGAGGACAAACAAAAACTATTCGTAGCGCTATTCTATCCCATCTTGTGGATACAGAATAGAAGACTGATGTTAACGAGGCGACTTTCAAAGTCATTTACCGCATACGAACAAATCCTAACTTCGCCTTAAGAGTTTGATTACTAAATATGCTGAGGCCGTTGGGATCTTCATTAAGAAGCATAATTTATGTATCCAAAAGAAGCTAGTTCAGATACTGTCCTTACCTTAGCCATCTAGGTTCAAATAATCCTTGATTTTTGTGGAAATTTCCCTAATTTTAGTTGACACTCTATGTGCTATTATATTTTTATTATTATTATAATTTAAGCATCTTTAATGAACTATGGTAATTTCCTTGTGATCATACTTTACAAATCGATATTATTTAAAAACACACTAATATTGTTATTGACTACTATTCTAGAATATTCTGCGTATATAAGCATATGTTTATATAATTGTAGATCCAGAGCAGAAGAAAATTATTGAAAAGGACATTCTTTGTTCAATTATTTTGTGTTTTATGAAAAGTGAATTATCTCACCTGATACGTTGCAGGATCCATTTCCAATTGAATAAGTAGAGCTAAATTATTGTTGAATGCATAAAGCAGAGCAGGAATTGTGTAGGGAAGTATAATGAATACAAAATGTTGAAATCCTATGTGTGTTGATGGTGTAGTCGATGGTGACGGTAAAGATTGTGTAGCCTGATCTTCTTCTGATTGGGTAGTAGGGCAAAATTCTTTGTAGAGAATTTGTTTTAACTGAATACATTTAAGCCAGCCATTATTTGAATTCGATTGATAAGTTTTATAGACAAACATAATAGCTGAAAGAAGAAGCTAAATGTGTGGAAAGAGAGAGTGAGAGAGGAAGGTTATATAAGTAGACTGAAACACGCAAAAATACAAAGTAAAAGATGTTTGATTCACCGGGCTAGAGTTGTCTGTTGAAATGAGACACTGAAGGAATAACTTGGTAATATTTGTCATCTGCTAGGTAGACATGGATATCCAACTAAATTCTTGAAGAAACAGATGGACTCAGATAGTGAAACGTCGAAGGTGCCCATTGTTCTCAAGAAATCAGTCTTCCTGGGACTATAAGTCACGGGTGATGTCAATAGCGATATTTTATCACAACGTCTGAGAAGGCCCTTAAAAAGGACCTTCAACGCAGGTGAGCTATGCTGTATATTCACTAGCCGATCAATACTTAGTTTAAGAAATAAAGACAGACTCCCCTGTTTCGTCTCTTCCATGCGTATTTACCAGTCTAACTGCTCGTGTGGAGCTAGTAACATTGGACATACGATCAAGCAAGTTCATCGTCGAATTTCTGAACACCTCCAATCTCGGTTTGGCTTAGGTCCAAATAAAGCTATAAGCAGCTTAAAACTATTGCTCATCTTATCGATAGTGGCTGGACATCAAGTTGACTCTGATAAAGCTTTTAAAGTTATTTATAGTATATCACCCAACCTCTCTCATGGTCTACAAGTACGTCATTTGAATACGGCAGTGGCAATCAGAATTCTTCTGAACAAGTCACATCTATGTATCCAAAAGAAATTTGTATAGTCCCTTTGTTTGCCATGGCCAACTACATAATATGCAAGGAGTTTTTTAAAAAAACGATTTTTCCCCCTGCCATTGCAACTGTCTTTCGACTTTGTTAATTTTCGCAATTCTAGCTAGTTCTCTTAACTTGTTTGTGTGTTACGTAATTCTCCTGAGTCATCCTATTCTTTTTAGTCATCATTGCTATTTTACAAATTTCTTGATTGTGTTATAACTTGTTGCTAACGCCTATAAATTAACTTATCTTTAACTACATAATTAATTTAATTGGTGGGTAGTGATCAGCAGTGGAATCCAGGGTGCGCATTTCGTCCTATTTCGGACTCGTCAGCCAGGGGATGTATCTGCGTTCCCCAGTGAGTGATGGTGTTCCCACCAAGGCTCGAACCCATCACCCATAGTTTCAAACGCCAAAGTGTTATCCACTAGACCAATTGGTCCACGAGAGCCACTACCTCTTGTGCAACGGGTCATATTGACTATTGAACTGAATTTTTGATTTTCCCGTCGATTGATTGGACCGAAGTACTCGGTCTCAGGTTGACATGTCAGCTCCTTGTGCATATGCTGACGAGTCCCAAACAGGACGAAATGCCCATCGTAGATTCCACTGCTAGTCACCATCCACCAATTATATACTAGCTAAATGCCCAGACATCGTCGAAGCATCTGCACAAGAAGCCGACATGTCAACCTGAGACAGAGCACTTCGGTCCAATCAATCGATGGGAAAATCTCAAATTCAATTAAATCCACGATTAATAGATTTTCACCTCTCCTTCAAAACTTAGATATCTTGCTTGTTACTGACATCTGTTAGTTAAATGATGTTTCGATGACTTTTAACCTCTTAATTTCACCCACCCTACCTATACCTAAAGCTGATTAACTAAAATAACCACTTGCTTGGTAAAACTGTGACGTAAAAAACTATAAATTAGTGTAAAGGCAGCTGATGATGAGGAGCTAATTGAAAAATAATGAGTATTTCCTCATCAGTCTGTTTTTGTTTTCTAAAGCAAAAGGAACCAATAAGTGGGGGATGATTGAAGATGAACAGACAGGATCCCAACCAGTAACATAAGGATTTACTAGCCAGAGACGTCGGTGGTATAGCGGTTAGGACGCTCGCCGACCATGCACATGGTCCGGGGTTCGATCTCCGGCCACAGATGCACTCCTTTACCTTGCTAAGCTAGAAATAATGCTGGTAAAGAGGAAAGGTTGGGCATGAGGCTAGCAACCCCATCCTGTAAAAATAAACACTGCTACAGAAACTTCAAGCCACTAGCTTGAAGCCCTATGTTCCACTGGGAACGTGAAGGAGAAATTATTATTATTATTATTATTACTAGCCAGAGCCTATCCTTCAGCTAAGTTGGTTCCTGTTTATCGGATAACATGCAACTTAATCCAATCAGAAGTCAACAGGTAATCTTTTCATACAAATTCCCATGTATCTGTGGGAGCGGTTAAATCGGGAGAACAGAAAGAAAGAAGGTCACATACACCTCCAATATTCTGAACATGTAACAAAATGTCTACGTTTCAAGGGAACAAATAATTATAATAGTACTCTTGTCAGACATCTTATCACAAAATACTTTGCAATTAATATTAGACAAAATAGTTCATTTCTCGTCACACATGTTGAGGCAGTCGCAATCAGACGCCTGATGTGTATTCATAAAGAAGCAGTTGTCAGTTTTATCCTGTCCCACTAGTAACTAAATGTCCTTATTATCTCTTTTTTTGATTACGTAATTTATAGCTATAACATCCGCCCCCCCCCACCGCCCGTTTACACAGAGTAATTTTTCCTGTATTGTTTCTACGGTTTGTATTATAGCATTATTATTATTATTGTTTCCTTGGGTTCCGAGTGGAACACATAGGGCTTCAACAAAATACATCTCCACTTTCTTCTATTTTCTGCTGTTCTCTTCATCTGACTAGCTCCACAACTGGCCATAATCTGTCGTCTCTTCTTCACACGATCTCCTCCATATCCCCCTCACACTGACGACCCACTCGTCGCTTCCCATTTTGACTCCACTCGAGGGCTTGGCGCACGACGTCATTCGACTGTCTCCTCAATATATAGAAAATCAAAACAACTGATTCGGCGAAGAGACTCTTTTCAACGAATTTATCATCAAGCTGTACAGCCATTTACATATATATGGTTTTATAATGAAATTATATCCGGTTAGGGAATTGAATCTTAGGTGTGAATGCATAAAATAATAATAATAATAATCATATGAAGTTCAATTAAAACTAAAATGTTTGTGATTTATTTATTTATTTTATTTTTGATTACAGCTTGATTCCACACTGTATTTTAGGTACAAGTATGGAATTTTCAGCATGGATATCGGTAGCCCAAATTTTGCAGGCCGACCATAGATATCAGGTGTGCGTCGGTGCGGGCTCGAACCCCGGACCATGTGCATGGTCGGCGAGAGTCCTAGCCACTGCAATCGTAGTTAAATGTCAAGTGGCAAAGCAAATTAATGTCATAAATATAGAATAATTCCTAGGATGGATAGAACTTGAAAAAGGATGTGCAATTATAGGATTAGTAGACAAATCGAATAAAACAAAAAGTTACGTAATATTGTGTGAAATTTGATATCATACAATTTAACGTTGTAAAAAGGAATTGATTTAGAATGACAAGTGAAACGAGTGAAATAATACCGGGGACAGTTCAAAGTGAGAATAGTAATAATAACAATTGACTTAGTAACGAAGAGTATACAAGTTGAATAGACAAAATGAAAAATTGGTAGAGCTAAAATATGATTGGGGATTACCATACTTTAGCATTAAGGAGGGATTAAGACCATGAAAGTTGGAGGGGTTGAACGAACTTCTTCTGTTTACAGAGATCTGGCTTTTCTGTTTCGATAGCCAAAGATGCCTTCAGCAATACAGATGAGTCGGGTACGTAGGGATTTGGGTAGATTGCTCTTTGCCTCTATGCTAAAATATGGTAATCCCCAATCATATTTTAGCTCTACCAATTTTTCATTTTTCATTTTGTCTATTCAATTTGTATACTCTTCCTTTATTAAATGGTGAAAGTCTGCAATCTGTGTTAAACTCACTATATTGTTACTCAATTTATTAATTACTGATCATCTTACTCACCTCTTATCTTTACTATGTAACTCCTTTACGATTATATCTCCAAGCCTTTATTTTTCTGTAGACTCGAACTCTATCTGGTTAGAAACTGTATAAGTGTAATATCTGAGCACTATTCATTATTAGGTCTCGAGTCTTCTGTCAACGGATATCATGTAACATTTTTCAAGTATGTTAAAACTGTTCTGTACATAAACTTAATATTTTTTAACCTATACACAGGTGATGAAAATGATGATGATGAGTGCGTCGGTGGTATAGCGGTTAGGACGTTTGCCAACCATGCATATGGTCCGGGGTTCGACCCCGGCCGGCGCACTCCTTTACCTCACTGAGCCAGAAATAATCCTGGCAAAGAGGAAAGGTTGGGCATGAGGCTAGCAACCCCATCCTGTAAAAATTAAACACTGCTACAGAAACTTCAAGCCACTAGCTTGGAGCCCTATGTTCCACTGGGAACGTGAAGGAAAAATCAATCAATCATCATCATCATACACAGGTGATGAGGAGTCGGCGAAACAAATGCTTGCACCATCCTATTCTACACAATCCGCTTTTTTCTGCTTTATTCAGATTTTGAATGTTCAGCAGCCATGATCAACAAAAGACTGAGTACGTCACTAGCTACGGCATATCCGGCAGCTAAGTTACTTGCCGTCCATCGAAGAACATGATGTTTGGTGCAATCGAAAGTCGACATCTACGCTTCTCATGTTAACTCCAACTGTGTATACAAACTTACGTGTATCTGAGGGAGCAGTTACATTGGGATAACAGAAAGAGGGACACACCTCCGATTTTCTGAACATGTGCCGAAAAGCCTACGTCTCAAGGGAACAAACTCTTATAATATCGCGGTTACCAGACATCTCCTTGATTGATACGGGTCATGAGGTAGGTGGAAATCGCGAAATCCTTTAAAATTATCAATAGGCAAAGGAGCTTGATACTCCCCAAGTTTGCCGAAGCAATTTCTATCAAACGCTTGAAAGCAAATTTATGTGTGTTTAAAGAGAAGCAGTTATCAGTCTTTCCTTGCCCATCCTGGTAACTGGATGTCTTTATTTTCTCTTTCACATTTGATTATATAATCCTTGATTTTAATATCA